AAAAGATTATGACACCTTATTGCACGTTAAAATTGTATTTATACCGCAGAGTCATCGTGCTTTTGTTGTGCCTGCGTTGTTCAGAAAGGAACAGTTTCACGTTGTTGTCGTCGTTATTGCAGTGAAATGAGTAAACGAAAATGGTTAACAGTCATCGGTTGTTATGCCTGAAGAACATCACGTCGAGTGCCCCGACAATGTTTGTCCATTGGAACAAGCAGTCCTTACGAGATTCCCGAAGGAGCGTCAGTATCGACTCGACGCGTCAAATTAAATAATCGTTATATTTGTTCGTTTCTAACCATTCAAAATGGACTCCATGCGTNTTAAATAATCGTTATATTTGTTGGTTTCTAACCATTCAAAATGGACTCCATGCGTTTGGCACTCGATTTCAATGACGGCGAGGGAAAAAAATTCCATTCGTAAACAAAGCTAGAAGGACGACCTAAATGGTCTTGCTGCAGTTGACTTTATCAATTAGCGAAAATCATGTACGCTAAATTAAATCGAAAGCAGAACGCGCACAGCTAATCAAGTGTAATAGTGTTGAACTGGTTTACGTACGTGTGGTCTTTTTATGGACTAATGAGCAATGACTATACAATACTATGTTGCATTTAACGGTCTTAAATAAAAACTATATACTAGTTGCTACCGGATTAGTATTTAATCGACAAAAACAATGATTTTTAACAAATCAAAGGGACGTAGTACTACGGGCCGGGCTAGGCACTTGAAGCATTTATACAATTTTAGTCGTGCTGAATACATCAACAGCAAATGGACATTCGCGTTTATGTTTTTAACATTGCAAAATGTATAATAGTTAGAAATTTAGTTATGAANTCAAAAAAACAAAAACAAATCAAAGGGACATAGTACTACGGGCCGGGCTAGGCACTTGAAGCATTTATACAATTTTAGTCGTGCCGAATACATCAACAGCAAATGGACATTCGCGTTTATGTTTTTAACATTGCAAAATGTATAATAGTTAGAAATTTAGTTATGAACAGCGTGGGAGACCATAGCAACATTTTTTGTTCATGCGCATGATAAATTTTCACAAAGTCAGATGTCTCGGAAGTAGATCAAACAAATTCGTTAAGTGCTCTAAGTTAATCTCAAATAACAGGAATTTCATCCGAGAGAAGTACTCTTGTTCGACTTGTAGAATCTATATAATTCACACATAGAGTATTCTACATTAGCCGTAATTTGTGAAAACAGAAAAATTCGTTTGATTTTTCGAAATGTAATAAATTATAATGTAACCTATTTATGAGTTTCATTCGAATTATGAATGAAACTCGACGGTCAGTAAGTAAGTAATTCAAAAACGTATTAAAAAAAACGGAAGCATAATTAGTTTTATAACCAACGTTTTTGTAATTTATCATTTGTGTGGAACAATTACATTACTATCGTTCCACGTTCAAAATGGTAAAAATGTGTTCATTTCATTGTGATTTGATACATTGTAAGTTCGCGTGAGAACAGATCTCATAATAATGTAAACAGCACTTAAAATACGTGTAACTAAAAACACATTTGATTGCGACCGTAGCGTTGAGATTATTTTAGTTAATATTCAAATGTGTTTACTTGAGGGCTTTAGCATGGGACATTAGTCAGTACACTATACGTTGAATAAAACAAATACAGACAAGAGAAATAATTGGAGAGGTTCGTATACGCATTCGTCATAGGCATTTATAACATATGGCAGATGGACAATTACTGACGTGATAACAAAGCAATGTAATAGACATTCAGTAAAAACTATTTTTATCGCATTTGTGTATTCAAATGTTAAAAACGACAAATATCGTATGACAAAAACTACGATACGAAAAAAACGGTTAGATAAAAATCGGTGAAATTAAAATTGTAAATGTCATAAATTTTAACATATTTAAAAATATTCCAAACAATATTTATATTTTTTGTATTTCATACACGGAAAATTACAATTTATAAAACTTGTTCATTTAGTTAGTTCGAACCATCAATTTTAAGCTTAAGTTTCGTGACATTATCATCCAAATATTAATGCCACGTCTAAATATTATTATATATAGACAAAATAATTCAATATTTTGTTATTTGATTATATACTTAAATCAGTATATGTATAGATGCTAAATAAATATACTGATGATCATGGGCGTACATTACGTCAAATGTTATAGAATATAACACTTGACAATAAAATAATAAAATTGGCATAGTTAGGGCAAGTATAAATGAAATGAGTTACTAACATCACTTTCACGAAAAAAACCTATTGGAGAAACAATAAAAATAATTTCATAAAAATTCCATGACTCGAATTTTTTCGAGTTGTATTTTTAAGACTATCAACAAAGGGTGTGCTTTAATTTTTCTATTTAATATTCCGTTTCTTTGACCCTTAGCTTAATTATTATTAAATATCACACTCTCAATATCAAAAATATAAACGTATTCAGATGAAAAAAAAAATTCAAGTAAATTTACAGGACTCTGTAGTTTAATAAAAAGATTCATAATATAATATTTTCGATCTACCAAATGCAAGGCTCCAACTTTTTATTTCCATCATTAAAATGCTTCTTTGTATATAACATAAACATTTTTTATTATGTAATATATTTTAATTGTACATTTTAAGTATGTATTCATTTAATGGTTGTTTGTTATATTATATTGTAGTTTGTTCAGTTATATATTAATATATGTCTTCTTTTTAATGTACCGGTCCGATGCTATATGTATTTGTATTGGTTTTGACACTTAAAATATGATTATACACTAGGCCAAATTTATAATATTTTTATTAATAATTAAGAAGGTATATTTATCCCTTAATAATCGGTTAAATTAACTGAAAATTTATGCTAATTTGAACTATCTAGGAAAGTGACAGCTACAGAATAAAATAGTTATTCTTACTATTTTTAAATGGGTAAGGTAACCAAAATGTATAGTTACAGTAATCATAACGATAGTTATAATAATCATAATATATCAACCGAACCAGTAGTTTCAACCAAATTGGTACACAGTCACAATATGAACCTTAAGTATCGGGATGGGATAACCATAAAAATTGTTATTTCAACCATATTTTTTTCCATATATAAATTTTATTTGAAACACAAATATATAGAGGTAAATACGATACTAAAGTAAAAACATTGACAATATGTATAAGGTATACATATTGAAAAGTCTTAAAAGGTATTTTACTAATATTGAACCAAAATTGTGAAATCTTAAAACAAAAGACAATATGATTTCTATACTTTGGTTTTGTACCTATAAAAGAGGAAAACTAACTTTTTTCGGGTCCCTCGTATATATAATTCCTTGATCATGACAAATCCTAAAACATTTGTTTTTCAATTAACCTTTCAAATACTCGATACACAATTGTGTATACATAATATTTTTTTTGATTCTAAATTTTTATTATGAACAGATATTAAAACATAAGAATATGTTAAATAATATAAGCAAAGAAACTGAAGTAAATATTTTAAGTAAAAATAGATTTCTCTAAAAATTATTTTTTAGCATAGTCTGGAGTCATTAAGATATTTATTTCGAATCATTTTAACTGAAAATGAAAAGTCGGGTATGAAAGAGATAATACATTGCGTGGCTTTATTCTATTTTACAAATATAATTGTATATATGTAAAATAAAAAATTAATTAAGTGTATTATAATACGACAGATGTTTTATCATAATTTTTTATTTTATTTTTTGTGAACATAAAACAGATTCAATACGTGTCATTTAAGATTTCATCGAATAACGTGTACGAAAAATTTCTATCACTATTATAAGTAATTATTTTACAATGGTTTTATTAAAACTTATCAATTTAAACATTTTATTATTTTCAGTAATTTTGACTGCAATAGCAGACGAGATTTCAATGAAAACAACACAGCAGTTATATAATTTACTAATGTATTGGGGATGGAAAAATTTTAATGATTTATTTCATATAAAATATTACAATAGAATATATTACCTTCAAAATTTGACTGAAATAAACAAGTATGGCAATAAATGTTTTACAAAAATATAAGAGACTCGAAAATATTGTAATTAAAAAATTTTTGTTCAACATTTATGATTTATAATTAACAACAATTTACATAATTAATTTGTATATTTTTGAATAACAATTAAAATAAAATACTATTATAGTTTAATATTGTTTTGAAAACTACTTTTTTTGTGTAGTAATTTTAGAATATATAATAAAAATTACTTTTCTATTTACATAAACTTTTTATACTTATTAAGTATACATAAGCTTTAATTTAAGTGTTTAATATATATAAAAGTGTCGTATTTTTAGAAAATGATCAAAAGTTAAGTTGAAAAATTATTGAAACTTTGAACACTTTTTCTACATTTCTATAGTTAAGGAGTTTTTTCCCATTTTTAAGGCTCAATTATATAAAAATTGGTTTCTATTAACGTTTTGATTATTAAAATGTGTCCAGTGAATGCTAAGGATTTTCATGCAGACATAAAAAAGAGCACACTACCGCAAAACTAAAACCTATCATTGAAGTTAAATACATCCATTTAATTTACAATATTATAAAAGTATTATAAAAACAAACTATAAAAGAGATGTTCAAAAGTCTTAAGTTTGTGGAAACTGCTTCATAACTAACTTATAATTTCAAGAATCGCAAAACATTAATCCCTCTTGAAATAACTAGCTTGAAATAATCTTTTATTATTCTACAAAAAAATAACAGTTTTGTAATAATTTTCTTTAAAATGAAATATACAGAAAATCTGTTATTATTACTATGATATTTTAAATTGATCATTATTTTTAAATTTTGAGTATAACTTTAATAATTTAAAACTCATAAAAACTTTTTTCTTTATATATTCTATTATTATTATTATTGAATTATTACTAGTACTATTGAATTCGTAATATTAAATATACATTACATATTGTAATTAATATAATCACCTTCAGTGCATCGTACAATTTATTAATTAATAGTGAATAATTATTTATTTACAATTTATTTACTATATTAATATATATATTTACAGTTCAGTAAGTAATGAAACAGATCAATTGTTACAAACAATGAGAAAAAAGACAATGACCAATAGAAACCCGTTTCCTTATTTACTGAACACTCTTTATATACATTATAAATTAATCTCATAAAAATTACAAATTTAAAAAATATTTAATTGGTCACAAGATTTATAAGATAATTACGATTCGATAAAAAACAGCTAATACCTCTATAATAAAGGTGTAAAATTGGTTTTAGTTTTATTTACTACTAAATCTATGGCATTACTAAGAAATTCGACAAAGTCCTGGATTCCTGATTCAAACTTTTGCATTTCGTATTTAGCTATTATTTTTTGCTGAAAATGACTTTTATTAGACATTTTGCAGAATGTTGAAGATAATTTACTCGAATTAATATATAATGCAGCCAATTTTTCCCTAAAATCAATTATACTTTTATAATTGTCGGGTGTTCCCGATAATTGAATTTTTGTTAAATTATAAATAAATTTATTACCATTTATAGTATTATAATATTCATCATTATATAAATTTCCGATACTTATAATAACACGTATCATGAAATGAACTAGATCTGAAATACAAACGGATTTTTTAAAAAGTAATTCATAAATTTTTTTACATTCCTCATTATCTTTAGTTCCATTGAAATCAAGACTCTTAAGGTATTTATGAAATTTATAACTTTTTTTGTTTGCAAAATCACCATTTTCATCAAACGCGTTGTAGTCTTTTTCTATGGGTTCATTATTCAAATCAATATTTTCTGACATTATAGCAATTTTTTTAGTTATGTACTCATCCAATATTAAAAACAATAAACGATTGCATATTTTTACTATTTCAATAAACTTACAATTGATTAGCCCGTAAATAATATTTAACTTAAGTCTGTAATTACTTTGGTTGACTGCGAGATTTTCCACTAACAACAACTCTTCAGGTATTTTTGCTTGTGTCAGATCAAATTTGTTAATGTCAATGTTGCCGTATAAATCTTTGATGCTATATGTTTCAAAATTTATTACTGTCATAATTATAATAAATTTTTTCCATAGTTTTTTAAGCGCTAAAATTCCATTAAGGCGATGTATTATCTCATTTTCATTGAGTGATATTACAAAATTTGTTGATACAAATAACAATAATATACCGATTAATTGCATGTTGTTAACTATATAAAATTTTAAATACCTATAACTATTCAGTCACTATAAAAAATATAAATTTATATTCTCCTATAAATTGGACTAAAAAAATATTTCATCAGTTATAATATTTAAAAATTATAGTTTTTTACAAACCAGATACAGCAATATTTATCTTCTCCAAAAAAAATTTTATACAAGTGTATGCAATAAATAAAATTTAAATAGTAATTTATTGTTTTATTCAAAATTTATAATTTTTAATCACAAAAATGTTAATATATATATATATATACACTAAATACAAATAAAATTTAATTATTATTTACTTTAGAAATGAAATTGTTCATAGCATTCATACAAAATGTATTATTAGAAAAATAAAACACTAAAATAATTAATTTTGAGCATGTGACATGTGAACTATAACAATGGTGTCTTTAAGTCTAATAGTTAACTTTAGTTTCCTTTGAAAATGATATGTCTCCCTTCTAGTTAAAACTAAAATCATATTACCAACATAACAAATTTTTATCAGTAGTTATAAAAAAATTGAAAGTATTGTTCGGGTTTAGTTTTAATCTATAAAATAGAAATTTTTGATGATACAGAGTTTATGATTAATATTTATGGCATTTTATTATAATAATAATATTTTATTTTCTAATATTTATACCCCCGATACAATTATTCCTTTTATAATAATTTTACTAATAATAATCATAGGTATTCATCAGATTATATAAATAAAGAACTCTAATTAATACTTAGAAACGTAGACAATGTTTAAATGTATTCATCTAACTACACGATTAATTCACAATTACTTGAACTTATACTAACGTTAATAAAGGAATCTAATAATGTTTTACTCATTTCAAAAAACTTTTCAAAAGAATAATTCTACAAAGATATATGATATGATTCCGTAGTATACAAAATAATCGTAATTTTGGACTAAAATAACAACACTATAACATATGACACATGAACAATGTTGATCAATAAAAAATTTTAAGAACAATATTTTTTGTAATATTTCTTCAATCGTATTATCAAATTATAATATATTAGTATAACTATTTAACAACCAGTAATTATATGACATAAAAAAATTTAGTATCCAGAGTGGGAATACCTAATTTGATTATTTCAAATATATGGTGAAAATATAGATAAATGCATTTTGTAGTTTTGATATATTTGATGGATTTATTCATAAAAATCAATTTTCATTTTTTTAAAAACTATGAGTGATACTATAATTTCAGCTATGCCAATATTGGTAGATAAAATATTTTGAAAATGTATAGTATGAATAAAAACTTAATATACTTTCACATCGGATAGGTCAAGTTTAGTTTATGGTCTTGAGAGTTATTAACTGGTATTCCTTCTTCAAATAACTTTAATTATCCAACTAAAAAAATGTACTTTTTACCAGAAACTATAAGAGGTTTACTCAAAACGTCTGATGGCAATTTATTATTAATTAAAGCTAATAATTTTTTCAAACAAGTTTCCGGCATTAACTCCAAAAAGAGTATAAAGTAGTAGTTAACTGAGAAATGGTAGTACAAGAACTACGTTGTGATGCATTTTGAAAAAAGTAATGATTTACTGCAATGGGGTGAAATACAATTCTGCCAAGGAAACTAATCTCCGGTTCGTCGACTACGTTCGCACACGCCAACGGTGCAGACCAACAACTACTGTCCAAGTTGATATAGCAAATAAATTTATTATCATTTTTTTACACGTTTCGAATAGAATAATAATCTAAACAATTCGTTTTACTCTGGGGACGTTGCAATGAATTAAGTTTAGCGGCATCCGTCATGAAATATTGAGTTAGATGAACTATAACTAGTAATGCAACAAAAGAATATTCTCCAGAAAATTGTCTTGGTAACGGAAATATTCTCCTATAGATTATTACTAGAGAATATAATATATTTAAAATAATAGAACTAAATTATTTCTTTGAGAATATTTAATCAAACTTGAAAAATATTTGAAGAATTGAATATTTAATAAACATTTTTGAAGGAAAAAAAATCTTCTTTCACTTGATTACTATATTTGATTTTCAAAGACTAAATATAATACACACCAAAAAAAATATTCTAGTTTTCGTACAACTGAAAAAATGTTTGTGAAAAAAAATTCTATGGAATTTTTACTACAAAATGACCTTATGCTGGTCGTTAAGAAAAAGTTTGACTACTATTTAATTTAATGCTTAAGCATTTGTAACTTTAAAATCATAGAATTAGATAATTGGTTAACTTTTATTCTAAGTAGGCTGTATCTACAATTTCATTTTATTGAGTTATCTGAAGCTTAAAGAATAAATTTAGAAGTGATCAATTTTATATTTGGTGGCCAATTTAGAAATATTTGTCATCCTATTCCGTACCTAGAGCAAAATTATTTTTTTAATGAAGCAAATTAAGTTACCTTAGCTTAATTTAGGCAGTGTTTAACAATGAATTGTCATGTACTCCTCCCACATAGCACTAAGACAACTAATAGATATTCAAAATATCCATTTGATATTACTGTTTATTATAGTACTGATATATAATCTTATATATATATATATATATATATATATATCAAATCAATAAACTATTGCCCATATATTTCATGGTATATGGATATCTACAAGAAAATCCGTTAGATACCATGTGTACTAGAAATGTTATTTATATTATGAATTTTTAATTATTTAAAATTAAAATTATTACATTATACGTTTTAATTATGGGGTGACTTTTTGGTAAGAATGCTAGGGAAAAATTTTTCATCAAAAAGCAAAATGGATGACCAAAAATATCGAGAACATGATAGTTCAAGGATGGCGATGCTGCCTCTCCTCCATTTAATACGACCCTGTATTATATACTATATCCACATAAATATTTATGAATATCCAAATTTTATCTATAATGGCTAATCCGTAAATTACTTTTTATGAATATCTAATGGATGTTCATTTATGTTTAAAATGGTTATTGAATATACTTACTAAATATCTATAAGATAACTAGTACTGTGTAAGTTCAATTAAGAAAGAATTAAGTCTTAAGAAACTTTTGATATATTATAAAGTGTTTAATTAGCCACCAAATAATTAAAATAAAAAAAAGATTCTAGTATAAAAATATATAAGAGAGAAAATTGATTTTATGACCTTATTAAAGTATGCTCCTGGATAAGTATTATAATTGTTAAAATTATTATATTATAATTATTCATATTTTTCAATAACTACATTATTTCAACTAATTATTTTATTTATAGGAATATATAAATCATATACAAATAACAAAAAAAACATTTCTTAATTTAATTTGGAAATTCTCCTAGTACACTTCTAATTTAAATATGTGTAAAAACTTCAAATAGTTTTTATATGTAATATTTTTATTTAGGCATTGTGTTAAAAAGAATTGATTTATTTACTCACGCTTATTTAAAGTTAAAACTTTATGTCATACACGACATTATTATATCGTTCTTGCAAAGCAGGTGTAAGTGCGATTTAAAACAAATATATATATTAATTTAATCTATTTTTGAAAACACTGTCTTTACTTGGTTAATATATTTTAAAATATTCTTAAAATAGCGCACAAACATTATTATAATGTTTAAATCCAAGTAGATCATTGAAAGTGGGCATCAACTTGCCCACTTTCTCCTAAAGTTTGTTTTTTTATTACAATAATGTACATTACTTAAGTCAGGTGACATATGTAACGTACAGGATATAAATGACAGGTCTTTACGCATACAAATTGTAAATCGGACAGAAAAATAATAGTTATTTATCGAATAGATTTGTCATCGTGTAAAAGAAGATTTGGTAAAACTGGTGATTTTACGGTTAGAAGTCGAAACAATAAATCAATTCGGTCGTTGCAAATAGAAGATAAAAAATACAGCACCCTCGATCTTGGGCATTAACCTAAGGGCGGAAGTATAGGGATAGCGGCCTTTCATCAATCAAACCGACCAATAGAACTGATCGAATCTCACCGGTGACCATGTCACGCAACAATGCACTTCCACGGCTTCATCAATATCAGAATAGTTGTTCGGTTTGCACGACTCTTCATCGACTTCCATTTTTCCTACACTCGTGTCCTCTGTACATAATAACCCAGAAGTATCTATGAACTATTGTTCTCGTCGTTTAATAATTTTATCGAAATTTTCAAAAAAAAGTCAAATTACTGTTCGTTAAACCATTGCCAGAACTGACTAGACCGTTACAAAAACATTTACTAATACATAAATTCCACGGTCGCGGCCCTAAGTGGATACTATCTTTACAAGACCAAATAGCCTCGTTCCTCGGTAAATCCTTTTCGGGAAAAGGCCCGTTCCATGATCTCTGTGCCTTGTCTCGTTGGGAAATGTTCTTTGGTGTCGTGATACAGGATGGAGTATTTATACGGAAAGACTTAAATCTAGATATTTATTTATCTCATTTTTCTTCAAATTTACAACCTAATAAATTTACATAATCCATAATTTATAAAAACCCTAAAGAGTGTTACATACGCTCTTTATGGTTTCCAAACTTCAAATGAGTAGTCACTTTTCTTGTCAGGATTTCAATATTAACGTAGGCGCTGTTGTGCATAAACGCAAATTTATTGTCTACACGCCACTATAAATAATTAACTTTAGATAATAACTTTCCTTTTTCAAAATACAAATTGAAATGTACTTTAATCCGATCGGGTCTATTAATACTTTGTTGAAGTCGTGATTAGGTACAATTTAATATGGCTGCCGGCTTTCTGAGTTGTCTATTCAAATCAATAATACATAATAATCTCTCTGGCGTTAGTAAATCTTTTTTCTTTTGAAAGTCCAAATTCATAAATTTTGATTAAAATGCAATCGACCAAATATAACCTTCCTACTTCTATTGTTTAATGTATAAGTACACATAATATTTCTATTTCATAAGTAATCCAAATACAACGTCAACTGATAATTACCAGAATTAATATGCCCTCTTTAAAGTTCAAGATTATTATTTATTAATGATTTACTTGTATAGTTAACATGGTTATAAATAAACCAAAGCTAACAAAATGTATGCATGAA